TTTTTTTTGCATGGTCTTAAACTCTGTACCTTGGCTTGCAGAAAACAGCCACAAACAGGCTGACACCTTGACCTCAGGTCATTCCTACAGATAGGTGTGAAGATGTAGGGGTTGCAGGGAAGATCTGTGGATGATTTGGTCAGTGCCATTATGTATCCAGGTTCATCTAGACTCAGCCTCCTCCTCCAGCTATAGATTTTATGCAGGTGAGAAGAATTTGGAAATTTGTCCACCATCCTAACAAAATAGATGTGTGCTGTGAAACCAAGGTGGTCTAGAGGTGCCAGACCTCTCGAGCAAATGCCAAGTATTGTAGGCATCATGTGCACAATGACCCCCTGCTTCATAGATGCTTCCTGATTCAGTGAGCATTTGCTGCAGAGCCTGGATGCTCCCTGACACCCTGGAGATCTTGGTATCTTTCTTCTCCTTTCTGCTGGCATCACAGGTCAGATCTGACGTACAGCAATTGCCACAGCCCACCCAGACATCAGCTATCAGTTGCTGAGGGACAGGCTGGCCCATGCATGACTCCTTAGGTAATGCACAGCATGCCATTTGCTGCAGTATGCCACGCTGTTTCTGATGAGTCCCTGCATGTCCTTGCAGGTGACAACCAGGGCATACCCCTCATGTCCAACATCAAGCTGCGTGAAGAGCAACGCATGACCACCACCAGCCCCTGGATGTTCCCAACAAGCCTGGCCTGGCCTGAGAACCACGTTTTCATCTCTACACCCACCTACAATTACACCTACCGGGACTACCAACGCTTCTTCACCGACGTCAACTTGGAGGATGGCTGGTACATGTGGGAGGATATGAAGGACTTGCTGAAGGACTTACCCCCTCCTGGTGTAGACACCTATTGCCTCTATGGCACAGGCTATCCCACCGTGGAAACTTACATATATGACGAGCATTTCCCTTACGAGGACCCCGTGGACATGATCTATGGGGATGGGGACGACACCGTCAGCACCCGCAGCTCCGAGCTGTGCAAGCGCTGGCACAACCAGCAGAAGCAGAAAGTGCGTGTTCAGGAGCTCCGAGGCATTGACCACCTCAACATGGTCTTCAGCAACCTGACGCTGAGTTACATCAACGACATCCTGCTGGGGAGCCCGCAGGCTGGGGCTGGCGCCGAGGAGCCGCCGGAGCCCCGGGGGAAAAGGTCCGGCCCACAGCCCGGGAGGGGGAGGCAGGTCCCACCTGGACACAGAGCCCTAAAGGAGGCTGGAAAGCACTGAACCAGAGGCCAGGCTCCCTCCATGGCAGCCACCACCAAGCACTGCCATGCAGGGAGCAAAGGACTCCGAGCTCAATGTCTGGCAGAAGGAGCAAGACCAGCAGCTCAGGGGCACAGGCCGGCCTCCATTTCCACACTGATAGGTTTTTTGTCCTGGGAACAGTGATTAATTAGACTTCAGAGGCTCGTCACTTCACGCTAGCACATGGATAATTAACGTTGCTGCCAGCTCATTAACGTCACACTCGGAGATTGCCGTGTATGCAGAACCCCTCCTTGCTAGCAGGCTACATTTAGGCACAGCAGAAGCTGCAGGGCTCGTGATGCCTGCGTTGTTCTGGGACGGAACCACACCAGAACTGGAGCAGTCACATAACAAGTGTGGGCCCTGATTTGGTACCAGGTACCTGATTTTGGTACCAGGTACTGGATTTTGGTACCAGGGCAGTCAAAGGGCAGCAGGAGAGTTACGTGTTGCAGAGCACCTATGCTAGCACACAGGCAACGAGCAAGGATCCCAGTGCCAGGCTGGCTTGAAATCCTGTTTATAAAATAATAAACGTTCTTGGCTTCTTATTCTTGAACCTCCTTGCATCGTGTTTTCCAGCCTGCTTCCACCACCACAATTGGTTAAGAGGCCATTTTGGGACTGAAAACTAAGATTTTTTCCCACTTCCTCACAGGACTCCAGGAGCTGGGCAAAGGCAGCACGTTCAGTAGGACCCCACAATAAACATCACAGACTTGCTCAGCTGCCAAAGCCCCTCCAGGTCATAGGGGCGAATTTTAGAGTTACTGGGCAAATGAGCTCCCTCGGTGTGACCTGCCAGCCTGTGTGCAGGTTCCTCGGAGGGAAACTGGGCGGTTATTGGCGAGCACAACGCTGCGGAGCGCGGGGGCGGCTGCGTTTCCGACGCGCACCCCGCTGCGCCCCTCCATTCACCGGCCGCAGCCCCGCCATTTTGTGGGGCGCCTCCGCTCCCGCCCTGAGGGGACGCGGCGGGGCCGGG